CAAGTACTCTCTTAAATACCATTCGTTAAAAAAGTTTTGAGGCAATGTTGGAGGCAGTTGGACAATATGGGCCGGGATGCAAGCCCCCAAGTTATTATGAGATGCGAGTTCCTCTTTTGAAAAAAGAAGTGGAACACACAAAGACATTACTGCAGCACCACAAGGAGGCATGCAAAAAGTGGGACTGTTCTTTAATGTTTGATTGGTGGACGGATAGAAAATACAGGACCCTCATAAACTTTTTGGTCCATAGTCGTGCTGGGACCATGTTTATAGAAAGTATTGATGCTTCAAATGAGGAGAAAACAGCTGACAGGTTGTTTTTATTACTTGACAAGATGGTGGAGAAAATAGGGGCAAAGAATGTTCTTCAAGGGATCACAGACAATGCTTCAAACTATTAGCTGGTAAGTTTTTTTACTTTTATAATTTCTTTATTGTTATTTGTTATTATTTTTTGTAGTCTTTAACTTTTCAATTTACACATGTTTGATTATTTTATTGTGTTATTGCCTTTAGGGAAATTTTTTATGGCAAAACACCCTCATTTAACTTGGACCCCATGTGCTGCTCACTGTTTGGATTTGATTTTGGAAGATATTGGAAAGTTGCCATTTATAAGTAAAACAATTGAAAGGATTATTGCACTTACAGGATATATTTATAATAATCCGGGGTTGTTAAATTTAATGAGGAAGTACACAAATCAGAGAGAGTTACTCTGGCCAGCAAAGGCCCACTTTGCCACTTTCTTTCTCACTCTGCAGAGAATTTATAAACAGAAGAAGAACTTGAGAGATCTTTTTAATTCAAAGGATTGGAATGAAAGCAAGTGGGTGAAGGAAATAAAGGAGAAAAGGGTAGGGGAGACGGTGATGATACCCACTTTTTGGAACAACGTCATCTTCACACTTAAGGTGTGTAGTCCACTTGTGCAGGTCTTGAGATTGGTGGACCGTGGGAACAAGCCTTCAATGGGTTACATCTATGAAGCCATGGATAGGGCAAAGGAAGCCATTGCAAGTTCATTTGGTAGACATGAGGAAAAATATAAACACATTTTTGAAATCATTGATAAGAGGTGGGAGTGTCAACTCCACCAACCATTGCACACAGCAAGCTTTTATTTAAATCTAAAGTTTTACTATGATGATGCTGAAAGGATTGATTGAGATGAAGAAATCATCACTGGGCTTTATAAAGTAATTGAAGTGTTTGAAAAGGACAGAAACAAGATCAATGGAATCACTGATGAGATAAACAAATATAAAAATGCAGAGGGTGTTTTTGGTCTTGATATGGCTATTTGGCAGAGAAAGGTGAAAGCACCGTGTAAGTAACATTGACTTAATAGTTTGTTTATTTAATTATTTAGTATTTTTTATGTATTTAAATAAAATTTTAATTAATATTTTGTTATTAATTAATTTTTTACAGCTGATTGGTGGGTTTCATATGGTGTTTCGGCTCCAAATTTACAAAAGATTGCAATTAAAGTTCTTAGCTTAGCATGCAGTGCATCTGGATGTGAGAGAAATTGGAGTGTATTTGAGCATGTAATTAAAACTTCACTTAAGATTTTAACATTATATTTTTATATTTTATAATCCATTATATGTTGATACTTTTAGTTTTTAAACTTATTTTTATTAATCAATCTTATGTTTTATGAATTTATGCAGATCCATACCAAAAAAAGGAATCGGTTGGATCAAAAGCGCTTGAGTGACTTAGTCTTCATTAAGTTCAACCAATTGCTTAAAGATAACTTTGATTCACGTAGTGTCACTGACCCCATATCTTTGAAAGATATAGATGAAAGTAACAAATGGTTATTAGGGGAGATGGCACGTGAAGATGATGGAGCTGAAAATGATTTGGCATTCGATGATGATTCTTTAACATGGGAAGATGTGGCTCTTGCTTCGGGAGTCGAAGAGCCATTAGGACCACAAGAAATAGAGGTCCAGGTGTAGCTTCAACCTCTCATTCAAGAGCAACAACATCAGCCAATGCAAGAAGGTCTAGAGGGGGTTCAAGTTCCCAACTTCGTTTGGAAGTTGAATTTGAGGAAGAAGAATCGAAAGAGGAGTTGAGAGACTATAATTCTAATGAAGAGGATGATGAAGTTGAACTTCCAAATGAAGAAGATGATGAGGAAGAAGATTATGGAAATGAAGAGTGAATGGGTGACTTGTGTTTTTTTTAAAGGCTTGAAGAATGAAGATCTACTCTTTTTTTGTTTGTTTTGTTTAAGACTGACTTGTGTTTTTTTTATCAATACTTGTTTTTTGTTAATAGTGACTATTGAATCTTGATCAACCATCAAGTGATGTGAATGTGAATTTGTGTCATGTGTGAATTTACTGATTTTACTTACTAGATATTAGATTAGATGTAGTGATTTCAGATTTAGTGATTGTGATAAGTAGCTAAGTCATAAGTGGTATTGAATATTGAGATGTGAGGCTTAAACATGGAGAGTGGAGACTTGGACTTGGAGACTTGGAGAGGTAAGTGTCTTTTTAACTTCTTTTATATTAGTATTTTTGTATCTTATCTTATTCATGAATATGATATTTAAATTCTTTGTATTATAAAAGCACATTGGTGACAATGACATTGCTTTAACATCTTTTTATATTTGAATAATATGATTATTTTTATTTCATTATTTGAATCATTGATAGTTTGAATTTGATAATTGATACTATGTTAGACACTTACTATTAGTAACTAACTTAGTATGTTATTTTAATTATTTAATTGTTTAGAACTTTATAGTTTATACTTTAGAGTTTAGACTTTAGACTTTAGAATAGAAATTAGAACTTTAGATTGCATTGTCATACTCATATCTTAACTCTCAACTCATGGAAATTTAGATTGTATTGTTTTTTGTATTTTTTCTGATTTTTTTTATTTTTATTTATATTTTCATTTTTTTTTACATTTCCTGAAAATTCTGTGCGCGCGTGCGCGCCTCGCCTTGCGCCTTGGGCGCAAATTGGCCCCTGCGCCTTGCGCTTTTAAAACACTGGGTGAAAGACACCTATAGGCCTTCTTTTTAATAAACGCTCTCAAGTGTTGATCTTCACAGGGAAAGAACTAAGATTAAAGGGTTGAGAAACCAAGAAAGTTGTAAAACACCCTCCAAATTCTAGAATCAGACTTTCAATGGTCCAAATTCTAGAATCACACTTTCAAGGGCATGAAAAACACACTCCGAAGAATGCAAAAGACCATCAATTTGATTGAATGCAATGTCCCTCAAACATCTTCTCAGACACTTTAGTTCATTTCTGGATTATTTACTAATAATATGTGATATTGTGATCAATTTTAGTTTAATTTATTATTGGTTTTCAATATCCAATTACAATCCAAGTTTAAATGGAATCCAATTGCCTGCCCCATGTAAGATTCCATTGTAATTCATCCCCATTGGCTCCTCTTGCGAAGGAGCCAACCATGGAGTTTGTTGACCTGGGCATCCATCTAAGTGAATATATAGCCTCTTAGTGCATGTATAGCCTAGCTAGCATCTATTAGGTATCCTCCCATCCATCCAATGACAAGCTGCAAATCTCCTTCTATAATTAAGCTTCCACAAAATCTCAGTACACTTTACAATATAAATTGAAAAGCATAGTAAATGACATAAATGGGCTGAATAATTCAAGTTAATCACAATATATTAAAAAAAGTTTCAAGTTGGTTCTAACCAGAGAACTAGATCATTATTTGACACTTTAATTGCAAAGAGTTGCATGAGCAATAAAGGGAAATGATTAATTCTGTTATTTAGGTACCTAGATTAGCAAATTCTTCAGTTGATTCATTTTTAAAACAAGGCGTAAATGGGAAACAACTGTTTTGGGGGTAGCCAATGAAAGCAGTATGTAAAAGTAATGGGTGGGGTTAGGTATTAAAGGCTAGCCCAACAAAGGGGCCAATTTCATTATACCCAATGTTTTAAAAGGCACACCTAAGGTGCACCTAGGTACACAGGCAAGGCACATTTTAGGGTATACGCCTCGCCCAGGTCCTAGGTGCATGCCTAGCACACGCACCTCGCCCAAGTCCTAGGCACATCCCTTTGAAAAGGTGCACACCTAGTGCGCCTGATGCGCCTTTTCAAAATTTTGTTAACGTTGTTCATTCATTCATCCTATTTGTTAATGTTGTCCATTCATGCATCCTAAAAAAATATCTTCTTAAAAGGCAATTAAAATTATAAAATCATTATTTTTTGTGAGAATTAAGAATTCAAGACACTAACATAGACTTGTTCGGGCTTGCCGCAAGGGGCGTGGTACAAAGGCGACTCATAGAATCAAGAATGCAATATGTTTTACATCACATTAGCTACTTGAAGTAATGCAATTGAGGAGAAAAAGAGATTATGCGTTTTACACGCTCGAAAATGCTTTATATGTTTGATTTTATTTTTAAATTTTCATTTGAATATGCTTTACATGTTATGTTTATGTATTTTAATTTTAGATATTAGGTTTTTAACATTTATTTTAAAATCTAAGTTTATATTTTTTTTATTAATATTATGTTCAATATTTCTTTATTTTTTGCATTTTTTTGAATTTTCTGATATTTTTTTGTAATTTTGCACCTTGCTTCAAAAAGGCGCATGCCTCGCCTTGCGCTTCAGACGCAAATTGGCCCTTGCGCTTATTTTGTGCCTGGTGCTTTTAAAACGCTGATTGTACCTAACATTCTTTTATCATAAGCAAAAAAGTTCAACATTAAGAATCAAAAAATAATAAAACAAAAAAGCAGTAGAAACCTTAAATCTATTTGATGTTTTTGGATCCAATGACTTACAAGAAAAAATAAATATATCCATTTCAGCCCAAGTTGCTACCCAATATATGATATCATATGTTGTTAAAATTAGTTAAAAGATCAAAAAAATAGTATTAGTAGTAGCAGCAGTAGCACAATATAAAATAAAAATGTATGAAGATATACTTTTCACCAACCTCACTGGCAATGCCATACTTGGCGCAGTCAATGGCAAGACGGGTCGCTCGTCCAATACTTTCTTTTGTCCTTGATAATGTCTCTATCATTCCCTCAAAAGCATCACGTGCAACAGCTGCCTCAGTACCACCACTCAATGACCCCCCAGAGGCCCAATGTCCAGAACTAACTCTTCTCTCTTCGTGGTCTTCAGAATCAAAGTGATGTTGTGATGCAAATTGATGAGCATGAGAAGGAGGAGAACGTAAGGATGTGTGAGAATGTAATCCCTTTGCATCCTTTTGCGTAACATTGCTAGTGACAGACATAAAGGGATGAACTAAAGGAGGGCTGGGACTCCTACCCCGATCTATAGAAGCAGATGAAATAAATGGAGGGATGAGACTTTCATGAGAGACGGACTGCGATTGAGCTTGTCTTCTTTTTGCCTGAGCAGCTGCAATAAGATGCTTCATAGATGTAACAGAGTCCGCAAACTTGGAATCTACCACTGAACCAACAGACTTGTCACTGGAAACTTCCACTCTGCAGCCAAGAAAGCAATGATGCAACACATACATGTGAGAATATAAGAATATGCAAAAAAAGATGAGAAAAGATATACCGCATGAGAGGCATAAAAGGCCGTGCATACCGCTCAGGAAGCAGAGAATTATTCTCCAAATATTGGTCAGCTGAAACGGCAAATGCGGTCACATGTAAATTAGTTTTAGAAGTAACTTTTGATTTCTCTGCTGTAACTGCAACTGTAGGCATGTTCTTTTCACCTTTGGTTTGTTTAGAAAGATGATTTAAAGCATCAGAAACTGGAATAGAGGCTTTAGAAGACCCAGCATGAGCCTTTCTCAATGTAGGAGTACTAGATGCTTTACTCTGGGGCTTGATGGCTTTATATTCATCTTGCTTGATTGCAGTAGCCAAACCATGGGAGTCTTTAGGTGAAGCCAAGATAGGCTTACCACCCTTCATGGACAATTTATGGCATTCTAGTTTCTGGGGACTACAATATACATGAGCTGCCATCGACCTTTTTGCCCCCTTCTCTTCAGTTTTCTTCATGTGGGGTGACAAAGCTTCATTTAGAACTTCGTTAGATGATTCTCCAACCTTGGAAGGGTTATCCTCAAGTCGAGTCGAATCAAAATCATCATCTTCAGCATTTCTGATATTTAGATGATCATAACTGGAACTTTCAAGATGTGTTTCAGTGTCATCAACAGAATCTGACACAAACAAAGGCCCATTCAAATTACTGGAAACCTCTCCATCAACCAAATCTCTTAGTTTTTCATCCTCATCATCAAATCGACAAACCGATTTCCATTTTGAGTGAACCTGCATGACAGGAGAGCTATCATTATCAGAACCAGACACATCATTCTTAAGGGAATTAGGTTGTTTATTCATTATGCCTCTGACAGTTTGAGTTGTACAATCAGACATTGCCTCCAATGCCCGACGACGGCGCTTCACTAGGGGTAGAACAGCTCCATCACCAGGTAAATTCATCCCATTACTAAATGTTTCACCATTCAGTGCCAGATGATCTTCTGCCTTCATAAATGATGTTGATGTTTTGCTCTCCCCATGTTTATCTTCTGCATCATCAATGACAGCAGGACATGGAGATTCACTCCTGCTTTTCGAAGGTAATTTCTGGGTTCTTCCATCAGCCACATCTACATGCTTTGATCTCTTGGCAGGACGTGAATCTTCAGTAGGAGCCAACTTATGCTTTCCATGTTCAAATTGACTCCTCTTTTTCCTGTGATCTCCCAACAGAAAAAGTTCATCCTTGCCTAGCACCTCAGATCTGTCTAAAGTACCCTTGCTAATTTCATGAAGTCCAAGTGAGTTATCAACTCCCATGAAATGTTTCTTAACTTTTGGCAATGCTTTGACCTTCTTTTTATTGCTGACACCTGAATCTGACATCAATCCATCTGGAGATGATTCCCTTGCGCTGTCATAAGGAGAAACTTTGCTTTCAACCCCATCTTTCAAATGTTCTTCCGAATCAGGGAGATCATTATTACTACAAGGGTCATCAAGCTTCACTGATTTTACAGTTGAACTTGTCCTTTTCTGTACATTCACAGGACCATCCCGCCTCCTTTTTGATACAGTAACCACCCCTTTTGCCCTCTGCCCAGCAGCAGATGGCTTCGCCGAAACTGAAACAACTAAGAGTGGGGAACTATCACTATTATCAACATGACCACTAAAAGAATCTCCTTTATGATTAAGGAGAGGACTGCTTCTACTAGCACTTAATATTTTCAAATGAGTCTCTACATTGGCATGATCAGGATGGAATTCTCCACCATCTCCAGCCCTATTACTAGATGCTTCTTTAGACAAGAAAGGATTATCAGGTCTGGATACAAGCATTACCTCTTTCTTTGGTAAACATGTGCTATTGCTGGATGTTTTGCCCCTTTTCTTAATAGATATGACTGGAGATGAACCAGTCTCTGAGTTACATGAGATACTAGGCTTTATATCCTTCGTCTCAGTCTCACCCACCCCATGTGAACATCGTTCAAGTCCATACAGTTCATTGCCTGAGGCCTCATTACTAATGTTTTCTTTCTGTCCAACTGTCTGATTCAGATCATTTAACTCAACCTCTCCACCATCAATTGATGAAGCAACATCGCCAGGAGCAGTTTTATCAGTATCATCACCAGAAGCACTTGCTTTCTTTTGCTGTAATTCTTCAAAAGCTTCACATATCTCCTTGACAGCAAGGGCAAAATCTTTAACAGTCTTACCTTGACATCGAGCCGACAATTTACTCTTTGCTTCATTAGTAAATGCCTGAATATCAGCTGGAGCAACAAATGCACTTCACAAAAACGCAAAAAAAAAAGAAAAAGAAAAAGAAAAGAAAATTAGGAAGCTAGCTAAATGTGAATTGAGTTGTTCAACAATTATATCAAAAGTTCTAAAAATAAGTAACTCCATTTCTCCACTCTATATGTTCTAAAAAACACTGTGATTATATTTATATCTTGGATGCCCCAGAGATCTGCCCTTCCCCCTCAAATCTGTGTTTTGTGCAATGCTATGGTGGGACTTTGTCCCATTTACTAATCTCCTGCCCATATGTATCTTGTGTTTGGAAGTGTTTCTGTTCTCACTCTGGATACAGATGGATTCTACCTCTGGAAGTTGCCTTATTCAGCCAAGTCTCACAATGCCAAAAGGAAGGGGAAAGATGATGTGGAGAGCAACAAGAGCAGCTATATTATGGTCAGTATGAGAGGAAAGAAACAACAGGATATCCAAGGACCAATATAAAAATGTGAATGCTTTAATAGAAGGCATCAAGCTCAAGGTATTGCATTGGACTAAAACAATGGAGATTTTTAAGGACTTCTTGGTTGATACGTTCATTAGTTGGTGGGATGTAATAGCAGCATCCTCTACCATGAAAGTGACAGCACAAGAACTTAGATGCCTTCCATATACAATAGAGTGAAACTGAACTTTGATGCTATTCCTTTGGAAACCCTGGTCCCTCGGGTATTGGGGGAGTGTACAGAGATGGAAATGGATCTGTATTGACTCTTTAATCAGGAACAATAGGAACTAGAGACTCGCTGAAAGCAGAAATTACTTCTCTTCTATAAGGTTCAAAACTAGCAAGGCGGCTGAACACGAATCAAATAGACTCGTTGGTAGTGGGCTGGTTGGTGAATAACAATGAGGGACCTTGGATGTATAGTAAGAAAATCAGGGAGATCAGGAGACCATCTTCAAGTGGGTCAATCGATCAGTAAACCCACTCTATGCAAGATACACATTAGCAAAGCAAGGGATGTCAAGGGATCATTTCGTTGTAATGTACACCTAAGAGAAAGGGTGGTTCTGGATGGGAACCTTGCATTGTAACAAAATTTTTAGAAGTTCTAAATTAATGCAAGCTATCAGTTAGTTATCAAAAAAAAGGGGGGCCATTGCATTTTTATGGTAAAAGAAAATTCATTGAATTGAAAAACAAAAAAAAAATTGTATATTTTTTCTTTTAATAAAATTATTTTTTGCATATTTTTTGAAGATAAATAAAGAAGAAAATTTATTAATGAAACAGAAAAAGGAGGATACAACTCGGTGATAACACATAACCCAACTCAAGAAAAACAATCAACTTAACCCCTTAGACCTTAAGAAAACAACCCTAAAATCATCAATTACATTTTGAGATCCCCACACCACCCAAAACTGAAAAACCCGAGAAACACATAAAAACCTCCTTCCATTGAACTCATAAAAAGCAAGCAAAACTGCTCACTCCCACCTAACCCTTCATCTCAACCTTGAAACAAAGACACATACCCTGAACCCAGAAACCTATTCTGACAAGGCTCAAGCATCACACTTTACCCTTTTCCTCAGTGCCTCCAATGTCTGAAACCAAACTTTTTTTCTTAAATTTATAAAATTTGTTTATGAGCACTAATGAAACCTCTTGATCAGGGAAACAATTTCTTGATTGTTACTGCAAAGTATACAGGCTTTGCAACCCAATTACCAATACAAATTAAGGTACTAAACAGAAACATCAATTGCCCTTGTAAAAGCTCAGGCTCAAAAGCAGAAGAAAGAGAGTTCAAGTCCAAGAAGGGCCACTTTGTGCAATAAAATTCTGAAGGTTAGGTCTGTTGACAGATGTATTGTATGTACTGTACACAGGTTTAGTGCCCGCAGGGGTATTTTTGTAATTTTGTAGACCTCTTGTGTTGTACGGCCAGTATAGTATAAATACAAATGCTTCACTTGCATGAAGCAGTTCTTTTGAGGCCTTAAGTCTGCAGCCTCTTCTCTTCTCCTTCTTCC